CCCTCTTTCTGATAACCGGTCAAGCATCTGGTCCATCAAAGGCATTGAATAATGGTATTTCTCGGTCCATGAGTTAAGCTTTCGATAGTCCATGCATATTCTCCACCTAGTCACTGGTCTTCCCAGCATAAGTTCTCCTTTTGCATTTGGGACTACGGTTATACCTCCTTTTTTTTGGTACACATTGCACCGGACTTACCCACTTACTATTTGCAATATGCTAAATCACTCCCGCATCTAGCCACTTGATGATCTCCTTTTTCACCACCTCTTGCATTGGAGGGTTCAATCTCCGTTGATGCTCCACACTAGGTTTACATTCACTATCGAGCCAAATCTTGTGAGTACAGATGCCAGAAGGAATTCCTACTATATCGGCTATTGTCCATCCAATAGATTTTATATGCTTCTGCAGTACTTCAATGAGCAATTGCACCTGCCTCTCAAGAAAATTGGTTGTGATAATCACTGGTAAAGTATTATTGGCTCCTAAGAAGGCACATTTGAGATGAGAGGGTAGGGCTTTAAACTCCATATTCGGTGGTTCTTATGTTGATTGCTTTACTGGAGGACTTTTTCTATTTTTCAGGTCGATATCCAACTTGATTGGATTCCTTGAATATTCTCCTAGCCCTGATAAGGCAGCTACCACTTCCTCATAGCCTTGAACTTCGGATTCATCATAATTGGCAAGTACAGATTCAAGGGGTTCAGTCTAGCGCATTAAATGGTTCACACTTGCCACTGCCTCATCTATAAAATCCTCAGTAGACACCACATGTATATTACTCGGTTGCTTCATAGATTTACATATATTGAAGATCACCTCATCATCGTTCACATGGAACTTCAATTTCCTCCTTTCGACATCCACCAATGCTCTCCCGGTAGCTAAGAATGGCCTTCCCAAAATAATGGGTATTTCAGCATCGATCTCACAATCTAGATTCACAAAATCAGTTGAAAAGATGAATCGATCTACTTTTACCAATATCTCATAGTGTATCCCCACTGGGTGCCTGATTGATCGATCATCCATAAGGGATCTCATTGTCGTTGCCTTTGGTTCACCCATACGAAGTTGCTTGTATATTGCATAAGGCATCAAGTTAATGCTTGCTCGTAAATCGCACAAAGCTTTAGCGAATTGGAGCATGCCAATTGTGCATGGGATTGTGAATGCCCCAGGATCTTCTCTCTTAGTGATTGACTCATTTGTCATAATTGCACTCCTACTTTAGGGTACCTCAATCGTTTCATAGTCCAAGCATTTCTAACAATGCTTTCCAACAATGCTTCCACCAGAGGAAGGTTAATTGACAAGTTCTTGAATACTGACAAGAATTTTTTGAACTTCTCATCTACATTCTTCTTTTTCAAACGTTGAGGAAATGGTGGAGGTATTTTGGGTAAAGGGTGCATGACTTTTGGAACTTGAACATGTTGCTCTGCATCCACTTGTGGTTCTTTGGAAAGGTTTTGTGGAATAGGCAATTCTCACTCCTCTATACCCTAGCTCTCTTCCTTCATTTGAGGCTCCTCATCCTCCATCACATTCCCTTTTGCCATATTTCCATTTTGCCATATTTCCACTACGGGTAACTACAACCAACCCTCTTCCATTATCTTTCTTCAGTGTACTGGATGTTAATTGAGCTGATAATAGACTCAATTGACCTTCTAGCATTTTGATGGCATCAGCATGAGAATTCACTTTACTGTTTAATGATGAAAAGTTATCTCTCATCCCTTATAGCAAATCCTCAGAGCCCTCAACTTTATCAAGTATGCGTGACAATAGATCATTCACCCGAGGACTATTTGCACTCCCTTTTGATTTACGGCTTTCACTCAATTGAGTATGGTCTTCGTCATGGTCATCTTGTTCAGCCCAATCGTGGCAATATCTCATTGTTTTTCACTCCTATAATGGTTCCAACCTTGATTTCCGCCCCGCTGTTGATAGTGTGGGTGGAAACCCTCCTCATATCTTGTGGAGTTCCAACCTTAATTCTCCTCTGGTCTTAAGTGATCGGATCGGTCTTAAATAATCGGAAGAAGAACCCTCCTCAACTCAAAATACTCCATACGTCACCTTCATGTGCTCTTGTATCACATCCATTTGAGACAACATCTTTTTGATGTTTTCATCCCTCTCCCATTCTTTATCGAGTTGTTCTTACATTAATCTGATGCACAGTGGGGAAACTTGGTCATCGTTTGTGTACCATGCTTGATCTACTCTAGTCATGCCATCTAGGAGGAATGAGGCTACTTAAAATGCTTGTAAAATTATCCCTCCTTGCACGAGTTGATAAGCTATCCCTTTATTAACCGAATCCAGACTACGGTAAAAGTATTGATGCAATAACTCACTCGGCAGTCCATGCTTTGTACATTTTCGCAAAAATCTCTTAAATCTTTTCCATGATTCGTGAATTGGTTCGCCATCCTTTTCATTAAAAGTTTGAATGTCGTCTCTCAGTTTCATCATCTTTGATGGATGGAAGAATCTTTCATGAAAAGTCGTAACTAGCTCCTCCCATGACTTGATGGAGTTCTTTGGAAGCTCGACCAACCACTTAGTAGCTCCCCCGGTCAATGATAATGGAAATAAGCGAAGTCGTATGAACTCTTGCGATAGATTCTGGAATGACAGAGGGGTGCACACTTCTATTAAGCTTCGTATATGGTCATACGAATCTTCATGCTCTAACCCTCCATATTAACCTCTTGAATGTATAGGATGGAGTGTTGTGCTAGTAACTTCAAATGTCGCACTTCGGTTTGCTTGTGACATGCAAATTGCACCCATCTCACCCACTTGGGTAGGGTTGTACACACTATTAATATCATCAATATCGTCTCGATGAAAAGTATAACCCTCTGCATGGCCTGCTCGGCAACTATTTTCGTCGTTCACACTCATATGTTTCTTAAAACACACAAACACTCAAAACAAAACTGAAAATTAAGTAAGTAGACTACACCTATTAAAGACATTAACGATTAAAAACATTGTAAATTAAAGGGTCACACAAGAGTGTAAATTAACAATGGGGGGTTTTGTCACAAATAAGTAAAAATAGCAACATAAATAAGGATTTCTAAGAAGTGAGAGGGGATCCTTGGGATGTGACGGTAATATGGTACTGCTTTCTCTAGAAGATTCATAGAATAATTGTGACTAGGCTAAAGTTTAAGGGGGAAAGGCTCTCTCTCGAGCAATTACCCCGTTTCAAATATGTTCCTCTCGGACACCTACTTGCCGCATGAAGACCACCCTATGCCTTAACCCATTCACTCTCTCGAGCTGAGTGTGTGGGAATGAGACTAGGATTCACTCTCTTGAGTTGAACTTCATATTTACCGACTCCCACCGGCCATCAATTTAATAGTTTTAGTTTTACAAACCTCTCTCTCGAGCAAGCTAAAAACACATAAATAAACTTGTATTTGCCACTGCAAATTCATTAAATTCATCCACAACTACTAAACGAAATTACAATCAAAGTACGATTAAACTATCATCAAGCAAGACCTAACAATTATCTTAACCCATAATCGCTAAATCACACCCCAATAATTGGGTTTTTAGCCACACATGTATAAGAGATAGAAATTTATACCAAATTGAGCCACATTGAGCTCGCATTCAACTGAGTATGAAGATTTAAGTCTTGATACAGGCCAAAATTGAAGAATCCAAGAGACCCAAATCGAAATCTTGAAGATGCAACCTTTGGATCTTCAAGTCTTCAAAACCCTCTCAAACTTAGAGCAAAAATATCAAAAAGTACTATTCTATATGAAATTATAATAATTGTTCGACTCCTAAAACTACAACTTTAACTAGTATTTATAGTTTTCATAAATTTGTACTGCAGCGGATCATTCGGCGTCATTAGTTGGAATCGCCGATCAACTCGACGATTCATCCTTTGGTGTAGTTCATGGTCATCTTGCACAAAGTCTTCAGCATCGTCGTGCTCTGGGTCATTAAGCGACATGGTACTGGTTCACAGAACTTCTCGGCGATGCGCTGACTGCTCCCTTTTTCCGCCGACTTGATCCTTTCCTTCAGGGTTCAGCATACTGGAACAAAAGGTGAAGTAAGTCCGTTCAGCAACTCGCCAAGTGGACTCGGCGATCCTTAGGCCTTCATTTCTTCATTTTTTTAAGCCTTTTCGTTCCTTTTTGCAACTTAGTGTCCATGCTTTCCTTCAAACCTCAAATACCTGAAACTTAAGGGTTTTCATCAGATATTGAAATAAAATAAGTATTTGAGGACACAATTTCTATTAAAATATAGCCCTAAATGAGTCCAATTTGTGGACTCATCAATCGTCTCAATTTCTACAACGTCTCCAGAAGAAGAATGCGGATGAGAAGTTCAAGAAGTTCTTATTGGTGTTCAAGACACTATCAATTAATCTCCCACTAGTTGAAACATTGTTAGAAATGTTGGGTTATGCCACGTTTATGAAGGAGTTAGTCACAAAGAAAAGGAGCTTCGATTTTCAAACAATTGAAGCTTCCCATAGTTGTAGTGGATTTATGACTAAAGAGCTGATAAAAAAGAGAGAATATCCCGGATAGTTCACCATCCCTTTCACCATTGGCATGTTCCAATTAGTTAAAGCCCTATGCGATTTGGGAGCAAGCATCAACCTAATGCCATATGCGATCTGTAAACAACTTGGGTTGGGGGAATTAAAAGCCACAACAATGAGACTCCTGATGGCGGACCAATCAATTAAATATCCTATGGGAATACTTCATGACATATTGGTAAAGGTTGACCGATGCATATTCTCGGTTGATTTTTTCATTCTCGATTGTGAAATAGATGCTGAAATTCCCATCATTTTGGGAAGACCATTCTTGGCAATCGGGAGAGCGTTGGTGGATGCTGAAAGCTGAGAATTGAAGTTTCGGGTGAACAAAGATGAAGTATCCTTTAATGTATGTAAGTCAATGAAACACCCAGTAATATTCACATGGTCTCCATTGTTGATGTTATTGATGAGTTGGTGGCTAGTGTGAGCCATTTGATGTGTATGAGCGAGCCACTTGAAGTCATGCTTTCGAACTGTGATGAATTCAAAATCCAAGGCTATGAAGAGGTAGTAGCGGCTCTCTCAGACTTGGCAGGTATTCAAAGACTCCATTGAAGTTGGACAATGATCTATAAAATTGAGAAAGTCTTCCCGTAAAACCATCAACAGAAGAACCACCAAATCATGAGTTGAAAGTACTTCCCTCCCATATTGGTTATGCTTTCTTGGGGGAAAATAAAACCTTACCGGTGATCATTGCAACTGACTTGCTTGAATGGCAGAAAAAATTGCTCGTTGAGGTGTTGAGAAGGCATATCAAAGTTATAGGTTGGACTATCAGTGACATAGTGGGCATTCCTCTTGGTATTTGCACTCACAAAATTCAGCTTGATAGTGATTGTAAGCCAAGTGTTGAACATCAATGCAGATTGAACCCACCGATGGAAGAGGTGGTGAAAAATGAGATAATAAAGTGGTTAGAAGAAAGTGTGATCTACCCTACTGCGGATAGCAAATGGGTAAGTCCAGTACAATGTGTACCAAAAAATGGAGGCATCCGAGTAGTTCCAAATGAAAAGGGGGAGCTTGTACCGATGAGATCAGTGACCGGATGGAGAGTATGCATTGATTATCGGACATTAAATTTGTGGACTGAAAAAGATCACTTTCCCAGGCCTTTCATGGATCAAATGCTTGATCGACTCTCCGAGAGAGGTTGGCATTGTTTTTGGATGGGAATTCCGGTTATAACCAAATCTCCATCGCTCCTGCGGACCAAGAGAAAACCACCTTCACCTGCCCATATGGAACTTTTGCCTTCAAACGTATGTCGTTCAGGTTATGTAATGCTCCAGCAACATTTCAACGTTGCATGTTATCTATTTTTGCTGACATGGTTTGATGATTTAATGGAAGTATTTATGGATGACTTTTCTATTGGGGGTGACACTTTTGAAGCATGTTTAGCACACTTAGAAAAAGTTCTCCAAAGATGTGTGGAGACAAATTTGGTCCTAAATTGGGAAAATGCCACTTCATGGTTAAGGAAGAGATACTTCTTGGTCACAAAGTGTCGCAAAAGGGGCTGGAGGTTGATAAAGCAAAGATTGAAGTGGTTGAGAAGTTACCACCACAAATTTTGGTGAAGGGTATTCGTACTTTCTTGGGACATGCTGGTTTTTACCGGAGGTTCATCAAAATCTTCTCAAAGATAGCACATCCTCTATGCAAACTCTTGGAGAAGGATGGGAAATTCGACTTTGATGATGCTTGCATAGTGGCTTTTAAGTGCCTGAACGAAAAATTTGTTTCCACCCTAATCATCATTAGAACTGATTGGTCAGAATCTTTCGAAGTAATGTGTGATGCAAGCGACGCAGCATTAGGTGTTGTATTGGGGCAAAAATGCAACAAACTTTTTCACCCCATTTACTACTCAAGCAAAACTCTAAACAATGCTCAACGTAACTGTACAATTACTGAATAAGAGTTACTTGTGGTAGTTTATGCATTTGAGAAGTTCTGGGTATACTTGCTAGGTACTAAAGTGATTGTTCACACTGATCATGTTGCACTGCGTTATCTTATGGCAAAGAAGGATGTCAACCCAAGATTGATAAGGTGGGTGCTTTTATTGCAAGAATTCGACTTTGAGGTAAAAGATAGGAGAGGTTGTGAAAATCAGGTGGCTCATCACTTCTCAAGATTGGAATGCAAGGAAAATGACGAGCTGGAGATCGACATAAATGATGTTTTTCCTGATGAATAGGTATTCACGGTAACTCTTGAACAACTTCCTTGGTATGCTAATTTTACCAATTCCGTAGTGTGTGGATTAATGCCAGACGAAATGAACTTCTACCAACAAAAGAGGTTCTTGTTCAATGTTAAGAATTACTTTTGGGATGAGCCATATTTATTTAGAGAGTGTGAACACCATTTCATTAGGAGATGTGTTCCGGAAGAAGAAACCATTGAAATTCTCCATGCTTATCATGCTTCACGGGTTGGGGGTCATCATGGTGGTGTAAGTACAACTGCTAAAGTTTTACAAAGTGGGTACTACTAGATATCTCTCTAAAAAGATGTTCATGAGTTCATTAAGAAGTGCACTCAATGTCAGAAACAAGGTGAAGTGTGCAAAAGACACGAGTTGCCTCTTACCCCCATTTTAGAAGTTAAGCTATTTGATGTTTGGGGAATAGATTTCATGGGCCCATTTGTGAGTTTGTTTGGTAATAAGTATATCTTGGTGGCTGTAGATTATGTTTCTAAATGGGTAGAGGATGTTGCAATTCCAAACAATGAAGGAAAAAATGTTGTTCAATTCCTGAAACGCTACATCTTTGCTAGATTTGGTGTTCCTAGGGCTATTATTAGTGATGGGGGATCCCACTTTTGCAACAAGTGGTTCTCTGCCACATTGAGTAAGTATGGAGTGAAACACAAAGTAGCAACTCCGTATCATCCCCAAATGAGCGGCGAAGTTAAAGTGTCAAATTGGGAGATCAAAAGCATGTTGGCCAACACAGTGAATGCTAATAGGACTGATTGGTCTAGAAAGCTTGATGATGCACTATGGGCGTATCGTACTGCATACAAAACACTAATTGGTATGTCTCCGTATCAGCTAGTTTTTGGTAAATATTGCCATCTACTAGTTGAATTGGAACACAAAGCATTGTGGGCATGAAAGCTCTAAATTTGGACTGGGCAAAGACTTCAAAAGAGAGAGTAGAGTAGTTCAATGAGTTGGACGAATTCATGTTCAAAGTTTATGAATGTTTAGCCCTTTACAAGGAAAAGATGAAGAAATGGCATGATGCTAAAATGTTTAAGAGGGAGTTCAGACTGGGAGACTTGGTGTTACTATACAACTCTCAACTTAGACCGTTTCCAGGAAAGCTCAAGTCCAAATGGTCAGGACCGTTTAGAGTGACACGAGTGTTCGCAATGCTGCCATCGAAGTTGAAGGTCAAGAAGGACATGCATTTAAGGTGAATGGGCAACGCTAGAAGTTATACTTTGGCGAGTGCCAAGAGATTTCTCTGATTGAGGTGGTCTACCTGAAAGATGTTTGAGAGCATTTCCACATCATGCCACGACGTTAAAAAAGGCATTTCTTGGAAGGCAACCCAAGTGTTAGTGTTTTAAATAATGTGTGTTGATTTTGCAGGTGCACAATATTGTGCGAGAAGAAGATGCTATTGGCAGATCGCCGAACCTGTTCGGTGGGCACGACATAGTCCGCCCTATGGACTTGAAAAATGGGACTTAGATTTTGGAACATTTGGCGGGAGACCTTCATCACTCGGCGAATCACAGATGTGCTTATGCGACCCGATTTGTTTTGCCCTTTTACTTCAGCGCTGACAGCGTAAATCAATGATTATTTTGCGATGTTCCAAGTCCATTATGAAAGTCGCCGACCTATTCGGTGACCTCCTGCATCTCTGTCGATTTTCCCCTTTCTGCTAGTGTCACCCACTGAAACTAAGAGCAATATTTAGCTCATTGGGCGCACCACCGAAGCATTCGGCGATTGGTTCATTTTCTCGCCAACTGGGCGCTTAGTGAAGATTCCTTGTCATCTTGCTATGCATGTTTACATACTTGAATTTTATCTTTATTTGCTAGTTTTTATTTTTATTCTTGTTTTATTTGCGGGAGTGTCTGTTCTCTACTCACATTGGGGACAATGTTGAATGCTTTTGGTGGGGGTGGGTACTTGGTCAATGAATTCCTCTGTGTTCTCGGACCCTTTTGGACCCATTTTTTCCACCTCTTGATTGTTATTAATTGTGGCTGGGGGGGTGCGAATTTGATTGTCGGTTGTGATCAATACTGTTATCCTGAATGGTGCTCTTAATAGAAAAAACATGATAGTGCGGCTATGATGAGGCCAAATAAAGTTGCATAGGCAATATGAAAACTTTTTGCATCTCAATGTGACTAGCCGATTGTCGAATTGAGTCTCTTGTGATGAACATTGCACACTAGCGAAAGTATGGAGTCTTGTTTGACATTGGTGCCAATGTCTTGTGTGATGAGCTTACTGTGAACCATGTGTGATAACACCTAATATTTACCCCATTTGTCCAGTTGACCAAGTGTTGTGAGCTCTTGAAATGATCTTACGTAACAATTTTAAAGAGCGAAACAATTTAACATTATACCTCTTTTGTGGCCTACCTTGTGAGCGTGTGATCTTTTCTTAAACACCCTTTGAGCCTTATCCTTTTCTTGGAAGAAACTTGATGAAATTGTGACCTTTCTTTATCCCTTCACTCATAACCCTCATTAAGTGTGGTTTGTTTGAATAGCCAACTTAGGCTTTTGGCCTAAGTTGGGGGTGTGGTGAAAAGAGAAGGTAAATCAAGAAGTGCAAAGAAGTACCCATTGATCCATGGTTGTGAAAAAGATGGAACCCTTCCATAAAAAAAAGAGAATGAAAAAGTTTTTAAATAAAGTTGCAAAGCGCAAAAGAAATGGGGTGTCCGGAGTCCATGGAAAGTGAATAAAGGGGTGACTTATGAGCATAAATGAGAATGATAAGGAGAAGGAAACGAAGTGTTGTTCATACCACATTTCATGAATATAGCAGCCACTGAGCCTAAATGACCATACCTTTACACTCTGCCCCATTAAAAGACTTGAAAAGACCTTTTTGATCTTGAGTGAACTGAAACAAGTGTTGGTGAGAAAATAAGGGCAAACTTATGGGTGGAGTCATGCACGTGTTCATCTTTTTGAGTGTGAGAGTTCTTTGTGATTCCGGAGCTATAAATTGTTGAACAAATTATGTGTGATTATAGAATCACCTTTGTGTGAGGGTATTTTGAATACATTTGTTGAGCTTGAACTCCCATTTGTAGCAAGTATTGTGAACTTGAGAATCTTTGATAATGGTGAGTTACAACTTGAATCTTTTAATACATAATTGATCCTTGCATGAGTAAGTTGAGTCTTGTTGTGTGCATTCATGATTGAGTCTTGTGTAGCACTATTGGAGACATTTTTTTAAACTATTGAACTTGAGTTTTACTTGAGGACAAGAAAAAGTTTAAGTTAGGGGTGTTGATGAGTCTGAGATTTGGACTCATTTTGGGCTTTATTTATATAGATTTAGTGTCCTCAAATGCTTGTTTTGTGCCAACAACTGATGTTAAACCATTGATTTTCAGATACATGGATTGAGGAACAAAGCTAGAACAGAAATGGGCAATAGAGACAACACGAGCGAAAAAGAGAAAGGAAAGACAAGCCTGATGATCGCTGATTAGTCCACAAATTGAACTCATTTAGGGCTTTATTTTGATAAGAATAGTATCCTCGAACGCTTATTTTATATATCATCTGATGAAAACCGTTAAGTTTTAGGTATTTGAAGTTTTAGTGAAATCATGGACACTTAGGCACAAAAAGGAATAAAAAGGCTAAAAATAACGATGAAGCTAAACCTCGAGCATTGCCAAGAAAACTTGGCGATTCACCGAAGCGATTTACTCCGCCCTTTGTTCCAGTATGCGAAGCTGTGAAGGAGAAGGATCAATAAAGCAATGAAAGAAGTAGTCTAGGCTTCGCCGAATAGTTCTGCGAAGCAGTACTATACCGCCCAATGGTCCAGAATGTGAAGGTGTTGAAGGCAAGCACGAACAGGCGATGAGATAGACGAAGGGCGAATCGCTGAAGTTAGTCGGCGACATCGACTAATTTTGCCGAAAGATCCGCCAACACTATTTTCTGAAGTTTATAAATACTGAACTTATTATTATTTTTAAGTGTAGAACTTTTATTTTAAATTTCATGAATAGAATAGTACTTTTTAGATATTTTCTCTCATGTTTGGAGAGGGTTTTTCGGAACTTGAAGAAAGGAGTTTATCTTCCCCAAGTTGGAAGTGGGTCTTCTCTATTCTTCTTCTTTTTTTCAAATGAAGGTTTAATTTCTTATATCCATTTGATTTTCCTATCATTTTAGGTGTATTTTGTTATTTCTTGATGTGTGGCTTCAAATCCACATTCTTGGGGTGTGATTTAGCAAATATGTGTTGATATTATTGTTGGCTCTTGCTTGCCGATAGGTTACATGTAGTTTAATGGTGATATCACCTAGTTGTTGTTGTTTAATCTAAAGGGTTTGTAGTTGCAAATACAAAGTCACTCATGTGTTTTCAGATTGCCCGAGAGGGAGGTCGCGAAACCAAGACCACTAGACTGATGGCCTAAGGAGTGGGTCGACATGAAGTTCAGCCGAAGAGGGTGAGCCCTAGTCCCATATCCGAACACTCAGCTCGAGAGAGTGAGTTGGGTAAGGCGTAGGCTAGTCTTCATGCGGCAAATGGGTTCTGCTATACAATTCGCGACTTAGACTCTTCCCTGGAAAGCGCAAATCTAAATGGTCTGGACCATTTCAAGTAACGCGAGTGTTCTTTAATGGTCACATATAAGTTAAAGATCAGGAAGGTCCTCCATCTACAATGACCGGTCAACGTCTGAAATTGTATTTAGGAGATTGTCAAGAAATTTCATTGGTTGAACTGGTATATTTGGAAGACGTCTAAAGACGCTGTTGTGTCATGCCACGACGTTAACTAAGGCGTTGTTTGGGAGGCAACCCAAGACCCTTTGTTAACTTCTATTTTGCATATTGATTAAATAACAGTGTGCTAGTTTTACAGACTAAAGTGTGGAAGGAGATCAAAAGGTGCAAAATGGCGAGCAACAGTTCCAGTTGGCGAATCGCTGAAGAATCCGGTGACCAACTCTAATTTGCCGTTTGACTCAGGATATATTCAAAATCAAGAGTCTGTTAAACAAGGCAACAGTTGGAAATTATTGGCGAATCACCGAGCATTTGGGTGACCGCAATAGAATTCGCCGTTGGGACCCACGTATAGCAGCGGTTCTGTAACCTTCGACGGATAAACCCAGTTTGACTAACGTCGCCAAGTGGAACTTTTGCAAGCCACATCATTAATATCCAGCTAGATGGAGTGACAGATTAACCAGGATCACCTCTTTACCTCTTCTTTGTCTTTCTTTACTTTGCCTTATGGATTTTGTATTACTTGCATTTGAGGACAAACTGATTTATTTGTGGTGGGGTGAGGCCCACACCTTTTGAGTGCTAGTTAATACTTGTGTTTTGGTGTACAGTTGGGTTATCTGTTTCAATTGAGTTTTTAAAACTGCTTCTGCGATTGTTTGAGCTTATGGCTCTCTTTTATGTTTAATTGCAAAATAATTTAGACCCTTCCAAATTTTTTTGGATTTTTTGCACATTTTTGCCACCCCTCGTGAGTTTAATGTGGCTGTTATTTTGCAAAAAAATAAGTCTCGGTTTTGATCAATACCGATGACTTGAATAGTTCTCTCAATTGAACGAACATAAATGTATGGCTACTATGAGGCCAATGAAGTTGCATAGACAATATGTGAACTCTTTGTATCTCGTTGTAACTAGTCAATTATCGAATTGATTCTCTTGTTATGACCGTTGCACACTAGCGAAATTGTGTAGTCTTGATTAACTTAAGTGTCGATGCCTTGTGTGATTAGTTTGCTTTGAACCATGCATGAATAAACCTAGAATTTTCCATGTTAGTATGATTGATTTAGAAAGGTGTCCTCTTGATATGATCTTAGGCAACTTTAAAGAGTGTAAGCCAAATTTGACATATACCTCTTTTGTGACCTACCCGTGAGTGTGTGAAACTCTTTTGAACACCCTCTGAGTTTTACCTTTCTTTCGAAGAACCTTGATGAACCCTAGAGCTCACTTGACACACTACCTATAACCCTCTTAGTTTGTGGTTTAGTGAATAGCCAACTTAGGTCAAAAGCTTAAGTTGGGGGTGTGGTGAAAGGAAAAGGAGAAGTCAAGAAGTGCAGGAAAAGTCACCCTTAACCCTTGGTGTTGCAGAACAGTGGAAAACTTTGCACTCACCCCCATTACAATCCTTAGAAAGTCCTTTTTGATCTTGAGTAAGCCGAATCAAAAGTCGATTCGAAAATAAGGGCAAACCTATGGGTGAAAACATGCATTGTGTTCTTTTTTATGAGTGTGAGCGTTGTACCTGATTACTGATATAGAATTGGTTAACTTCTGTGTGTGAATATGGAATCATTATTCATGTGAGGGCATTTATATACTTTTTGTCGAGCTTGAACTCGCACAAGTAGCAAGTATTGCGAGCATGACAATCTCTGGTAATGGTATTGTAACACTCCGGAAATTTAACGACCTAAGCTAGAGCCTAATTGATGACTAATGACTTAATGAGAGTAGATATGATGTTTCAAGACCTAATTTAATGTAACTAAATTGATAAGAAAATGTTAGTGAATAAACGTCAAGGAAGGACCATGAAGTCCGGAAATTAGTGCATTGAACTAGTGAGGTGCTAGGTCTTGAAAATTGACTTTAGAGTATCGTAGGTGGACTAAAGTTTGTAAAAAGGGTTCAAAATTGTAATACTTCATGTTTAGGGTCCAAACTTCGGGGTATGACTCCCCAAGGACCACTCAAGGGGTCCTTGAGGAGGACCCAAACTTGGACCCAAAAGCTGGCAAAACTGCAGCTAGCGACGAGACCAAGACTTACGGCCAGTAGAATGGTCTACGGACCATGAGTCATGGTCATAAGTCCATACTTAGTCGTGGGAGACTTGGCCCCCAAAAAGGGAACATCAATCCCAAACCACGACCATGCAGTACGGTCCGTAGACCGACTCATGCTTCGTGGAAAGGGTCCCACGAGTAGAGACTTAGTCTCCTCACCAAGACCCTTGTATGCACCCTCTCAGTACCAAACCACGAATGGCCAGCATGGCCCGTGTTTCAATCCACTCCCCGTGGACGGGGACTCGTGGATGGCACTTGAACTCACTGCTTCCACACGGTTTAAGTGGGGGTAGTTTAGTTATTTACTAATTAATTGCTTATGGGTTTAAAACGGTTATAAATAGTTATTTTAGGTGCATTTTGGTATTATTAAGTGATAACCAAGTCTTCCACCTTATAACTCCAAATCATAAAATCAAAACCCACTTCTCTCTAAACTCTCTCTCTCAAGGCTCTAGAAGGAGAAGACTTCATTGGACCTAGGGTTTCAAGGTTTCTTCCCAAATTTCTTGGAGATTCTCCATTGATTCTCAAGGAATCAATTAAGGTATGGTTGCTCTTCACTCTTGGGATCTTTTCCCCAAGAGGCCCTCTCAAAATTGGATTTCAAAGTTCCCCAAATTTTAGGTTTTCTCTCAATTTCGTGTGTCACATTCCGAAGGTATTTTTATTGACTTATAATGATTAATTATGGTTTTATATGATGATTTGTGGATGAATTAATGTCATTTTGATGTTTTTTTAACAAATCCCCACAAGACCCATGAATTCTCCTTCTTTCTCACTTTAAACCCTAGTATGACTTTAATGGTGAATGAAGGATGTGAATCTAATATGTAAATTGTGGTATTCATTATTATATTATAATGTTACTCTATGTGATGAATGATTACCAATGAGTTAGTGTTGAGTCTTGATGTGATCCTTGAAGGTTATGAATGAAAATTGTCAAATTGATGAATATTTATATATTGAATTGTTGATCCACTTATGGTGGAGGTGCTACTTGATTATGAATTGTATTGAGTGAGTTATGTTTCCTCTTCCCTACAACCCGAAGTCTTGACAAGTATGCTATGATACGAACATGAATGTTAAGCTATGATTATGGTAGTATTGGTATGATGAATAGAAGGTAAATCTCATGAACACTATATGACTTTGTTATGAATGAACATTATTATATATTGATGGTTCTACGATGAAAGGTTATTCTCATCTTAGGACTTGTGAGCTATATGATGAATGATGGGTTGAGTCCCTAATGCACTTCTTATTGAACTAATCTGTAACTAAAGACCTAATACTACTTTAAAAGGGAATTGTACTTAGCACCAAGTGAACATGAATATGAGATGGAAGCTTTTACGTTTTTCAAGTCCGGCTTCCCATATGGGTTCCTTTTACATTTAGCAAGTTCGGGTTCCTAAAATATATATGTTGTCTCATGAGATGGAAAGCTTCTACATTTAGCAAGTCCGGGTTTCTAGTAGCAATCTCCTTGGTCCTTAACTATGGTTGCCCACATATGTATTAGCTAGTGGATCCACCTATATGCTATTATGTTAGTTCCACCATAGCAAGTAAGACACTCTTTTTTCGGTGTGGGAGTAGAACACCGGATTCCATGAAGCTGACATGGTCTATGTCGGTTATTGCTAATATCCCTTTGTTTTAAGAAGATGATCTAATGTATGAATATGCCTATGTAAATGACTTATGAACTCTAATTAGGACTACTTGAGGGATACTACTTAGTGTACGTGAGGGTATGGGACTTTACATATGCATTGCACAAGTGGGTTCTTTGGGGAGCTCTTGTGTGAGTCCTTTATATATGGTAAGGTATGAATTATGTTAGGGTTGGTTTCACCTATTATGATGTTGATTATGTTAGTGACTATACTTGTGTCTTCTTAATGGCTTTACTTAGTAGATATGGTGGTATGGGACTTCATATGTACATTGCACAAGTGAACTTTAAAAGGGGTCATGGGTGGTGTCTTATGATGGTATGATGTAAATAGAACTCAAATATGTAAGGTATGGATTATGGGTTCTTGTTATGATCATAAATATATCTTTACCTTGTAATGTGGATTGACTAAGTTTTCCTTGAATATGCATTATGGCTTCTAACTTGAAATAGCATGTTTTCAACTAAAGGTCTCTTTTTGCATGATTTAAATAGTTTTAATTGCATGGCTTCCATACTTAGTACAATTGATTGTGCTAACCTATATTTCTTCCTTTTTCTACTAAGTGTATGTTCCTGGAAGTGATTGTTCTACTAAGAGACTCAAGCTTGGATTTAGACTTCTCCAAGACTTTTTGGTATGTCCTCAAGTTCCAAGGACACACACTATGACACTTATATTGCTTATATTGTAATAGACTATTAGACTTCTTATGTACTTATCATTTTGAGACAATTCTATTATAAAGGGCTATGGTCCCTATTTGAGATTCTTATGTGTACTTAGATGGTTTCATGGAGATGATGATGTCTAGTCATTCTACCTTCTATTTTCTATTATGAGACACTTTGACATTGATGTTGAAAAGTTTTAAATTTCCGCATTATTCAATGTCTATATGCAATAATCAATATGCTAAGGGATCGTATAAGACCCCTTCGGGGTCAAGTACCCCGTGTTACACCTAGGGGGTGCTCTCGGGGCGTGACAAACTTGGTATCAGAGCATAAGGTTAATTGGATAATATTAGGGATGATGTCTCCTGAAACCACGTCGAGTAGAGTCTTGTTCATATGTGTGAAGCGCGCCACACTTATGACTGAGAAGCTATAAGATGCTTAGGAATTTTCATTTCTTGATTACTCATTGGTCGTGCCTCAAGGATCTTAGTTCTATTAAGTCTTTCCTCCTAATCCTTTTCTTGTGCTTATAGGCTATGAATACAAGAAGGACTAATGCTAGGAGGGTCGGAGAGGAAAATGTGAATGAGGAGGTTCAACCCCAGGTTCTTCAAAACCCTCAAGCTCCTATTGATGAAAGGGCTATGTCTAATGTGGAGATAAGGGCAGCTCTTCATACCTTGACTCAACTCATAACGGCACAAGATAACCGAGAAGCTAGACCCCGAGTGGAGACCAATGTGAGTACCATGGCCTCACGGTTGAGGGGCTTTACTAGGATGAACCCTCTTGTCTTCTTGGGTTCCAAGGTGAATGAAGACCCACAAGAGTTCTTGGAGGAGGTTTATAAGATTGTGGAAGC